TGGATAAGAGAAATAGAGGGTTTTTAAAATGTTATAGGAAAATTAACATTGTAATAAAGAAGAAGAGATAACTAAGCAAGGAATAAATGCTGGTTTTTGACAATAGTCAGAAAAAAATTTAGATTACCCAATATTAACACACTTGCTTCCTTGTAATATAATGAAATAATAATTTGAGTCTACAGCAAAGTTGATCATCATTAGACTGTTTAGCTGTATTTACAGTGTGCATTATTTTTCCTCATTCAGTGATACTGAACATTTTTTAGGTTTTGTTTCAAAGTGAGTCACGGATATAGTCACAGACTATATCTGTGTAGAATGTATAGTCACAGACTATATCTGTGTAGAATGTGCATTTGGAATAGTTTGGGAATTACATTCTGTAAGAAAATGTTGGTTTGTGATATATAAAAAGTAAGAGGAGTTTGTTCTTAACAGCAACCTTCAGTCCATTGCTTACTTAGGACAGGTTTCATCTCTCAAAGTAGTTTAAACAGATTACTAAGATTTGTTTCTCTCCCAAAATATGAAGAGAAATCTTCTAAGCCAGATATTGAACAATGCATAGAATGGTGACTCCTACCGAGCTCATAAAAGAAAAAGGACTGTGCTCTAATTCATGGTGTGCTAATAGCAACCTGAGATTAACATACTGAAACTTTAAATGTATCATCAAAGTAAACAGCTAGAAACATTTTCCACTAGTACTGCTAACAGAAAATGTCTCCGTAATTACTGTGCAGTGACTAATTGTGTCACCACAAAGGGAGAGATGAAAGAATTGCCTGTTGAGCTGAGTCAACTCACCAGAATACTCTCTGAGATCACTTGTAATGGTAATCTCAATTTTTTTAAATTAGAAGTACAGTTTCCATCTCCTGGTGAGATAAGAAGTAAGTGATTAGACCATGTTTAATGCAGAAAGAGTTTATGCAGTGTTGCTGTGGACTGGCTGTGCACTGATGGTTATTGCACTGCTCTTACTAGGAAGAAGATTTTCACGAAATGATTAAATCTGCCCATGTGATGGAGAGCCAGTATGGCCACCTTTTTGACAAGGTGATAGTCAACGATGACCTTGCTACAGCTTACAGTGAGCTTAAAACAACTTTTGACAGGTTGGAGACCGAGACCTTCTGGGTTCCTGTCAGCTGGCTACACTCATAGTAATGTTTTAAGTAGACAAAACCTCTGCTGTTGTATCAGCATCTAAACCTTGGGCATGGTTAGGCTTTACTCGATGGCCATTTTCTTGGGAGGAGGGCTTTTAATTCTACTGAACAGCAGGTTTACTCTTCATGCACTTGGAACTGGTCTTGTTTTCCTGTGTCTTCAATTCTGCTGCCCACGGTTTGGGTCAGAACACTCAGATTAAACCAGAGATTTACTGTGCTCCGTACAGTGAGCTAATATTAGTGTAGCAAAACTGCCAAACACCTCTGTATCATCTGTGTGTTTCCAAGGTGAGTGTTTTTAACATAGAGTTTGCAGAAGATACAAATTGGTGCTGGAGATCAGCACTTCAGTGGTTTTAAGCATAACTGTTCCCATAAAAGAGCACATCAGCACTTGGAAGTTATTGCCCTTTCAGTGCTTGAGAGAACTGAAACAGGCAAAAGTGACCAACATTTTTATGAGGAAGATACCATAGTTTTAATTATGTATCAATGTGTTTTTACTTTTCTAGATGTTAACCATGTCTTACATGTACAGACGGATTTAGATATTCCTTTGCAATTCCATAATCATGGAAAGAAAGATGTATTCAGTGGCTTAATAGTGAAACACTCAGCTGTGAGCATGCATGGATTGAAAATACTTTCACGCATGCTCTGTGGCACAACAAAGAAAAGTAATGGGAATAATTATTTAAATAGGAAAAAATGTGAGTTAGTGTGTATATAACTTCAAAGTCTCTGGGATTAAACTTCTGTAAAATCAGTGGCAAAGTGATATGAATAGCAACAAAGTAGAGAGTAATTTTTTTCCCCCTTTAAATTGGTTTTAAATCTTTTTGGCACATTTTAGAACAATTTTCCCATCAGAAATTTTCAAACACCGAGGAAACCTTTGACATCTGAGAAGCAATTGAAAGAGAATAATTATTTTTATTGTTGAGATTGTAGTGATACCTTTTAGTAGTGCAACATGTATTTTGTCTCCACTCAAAAATAAATTAATGCTGTAGAGTTCACTGTAGAAAACACCCTTGTCACTGGTCAGGCAGTTGGAAACCCCATTTTATTATTTGATGTCTTTTTAATCTAGATAATTTGGTATTTTTCTTTACTTACTACTGATATGCAGGAAATGAGTACAGATGTAAAGACCAAGTAACACCTGTGTGTTGTGTTGTGAATATGTTCTTGTAAGTACAGAATGTGTATAGGAACTTGCTGACTTCAGATCATCCCATCTGTGGCATTCAAACAGGAAACCATTATTTCATGTTAATCTGTAAAGAGAATATAGCACTCTTGTTTAAAGAAAAATAATTTAGTGAAACTTTATATATTTATGAAAGGGTTGAAAAGGGATGTTAAGTTTTTAAATTTCTTGTCAATGTGATCATTTATTAAAGAGATTACTAAGTCTGTAATTTGAAACAGTCTCTGTAAATGGAGCTCAACATTCCATGTAAATATTTTATTTCAGTTCATATGCTGATAAAGTCATGAGGTTTTGCAGTTTTATTCTAAATGTGTATTTAATGTGTGGGCCATTGCATTTGGCTTAGAGTCTTATAAAACAAACGAAATGCAAGAAACAACAGCAAAATCCCTGTGAGTCTGGAAATGTTTATGCAAGAGTTACAGATGTACAGTACGGATACCTGCTCTGCTTGAACCGCTCTACTGTAACGTCTGTCAAATTTCACCATTTTCCTGGTAGACTTCAGGTTTTTTTGTAACATAAATAGGAATATGTTGGTTAAATTAATTGCATAGAGATTATCTGAGTTGAGAAAACATTTTCTACTTTTTTTTAAATTACTGAAAGTCAAACTATTGTTCAGGGGATACGGAATTCAGCGGGTCAGTTTCCCTTTGCCTGCGAGATGCCAAGTGCCTTCACCATCTCTTGAAATGGAGAGGACACTTGGCATCTCTCAAGATTTTCAACAGGAGAGGCTTTAGTCCTCATTAAAACACTATTGACATTGCTTCTAACCTGGGCTGTCTTGGAACACTGGGGTACAGTCATGTTTGCATAAGGGACCTGCTTTTCTCTTTTTGAAGTAGATGCTAGAATAATCTGCAAACTCCCTGGTAGAGACAGTTCTGGCTGTCCTGCAGGCTGTTTTTCCTGTCTTTTTGAAATTAATTTAATTCCCATTCCTGGTCAGTGTGGTCTGGGAGGATCTGTGCACAGCTCAGCTGTCCTGGGCAGCAGTAAGCAGTGGTGCTCTGTGGTGTTCCAGAGACACTGATCCTCTGATCCACGGCACATCCTGGCAGGAGTCTCCCAGGCTGATGGCTGCCTGCCCCATCTCTGAGCCAGGACCTAATTCCTGAATAGTAACACCTGCATAAGAAAGAGAATCTCAAAAGCACAGCTCCAACCAGCAGAGTAAAATGTGCACAGTCTTTGACGAGTCAGAAATGTTCTTAATTACATTACTAAGTGCTCTTTAAAAATCAATGTTATTGCATTGTTTAGCTTCAAAAGCTAAACATCAAAGCCCTCTATGGGGCAGGCAGAGATGACAGTAGGTGTTGGCAGAAAAAATGTCTTAGTCAAACAGTTTCAACAGGACAGGAGCCTGCTTATCATGATGGATGCTGAGCCTGTGTGCTGAACTGTTCTGGGATACCAAGGGGAACAGGGGGGTGGATTGTTCCTGTGACTCCTAAGAATTTGGGAACGAAGACAACTAAACATGTTTCCAATATTCCACATATTCAAGTTGTGCTGTGTGGGTTTTTAGAGATATGTATGTTTTGACAGTCAAGTCCAGATGTTTTTATTGTGTTCTAGCTGTTTGCTGTAGTCAAACAAAGGGTAGTATTTTTTAATATTGTACCAAGCTCTATACTTGAATTCACCATCAGGTCCTTGGTTGATGTCTTACCTGAAATCTGATATTACCTTCTTATGCAAAACAATAAATTATTATATACCACTGAAGATGTTTCTTTCTTTATTCTAAATTGCACCATAACACCATATATAACTATAGACTCATAGAATGGTTTATGTGGGAAGGGATCTCAAAGATCATCTCCTTCCAACACCCCTGGCATTGTCAGGAATACTTTTCACTCTGAGTCCTATCCCCCTTGAACACTGCCAGGGATGGGGCATCCATGTCTCTGGACAACCTGTGTCAGTGTCCTACCTCCCTCACAGTAATGAATTTCTTCCTAATACCTAATTTTAAACCTGCCTTCCTTCAGCTTAAAGCCATTTCCCCTTGTTCTATTGCTACACTGACTTGTAAAAAGTCCCTCTCCAGCTCTCTTGTAGTACCTTTAGGTACTGGAAGGTGCTCTAAGGTCTCCTCAGAGCCTTCTCTTCTCCAGGATGAACAAAATTACTTTGAAAAGTAAATTCCTAAGTAGTAAGTTATTTCATGGGACTCTCTATTAACTTTAATGCTCCAATTATCTTAAATGGAAAAACAAAGCACCCTAGAACAAGGATAACCGCTCTTAATACTTCATTTTTGTTGCCAAACTCTTCTTCAGAATTGATGTTTACCCTTTCCTGTAGCCCACCTCATAATAAACCATTTTCTTTCTGAGGGGACAAGCTTACATCAGTGGATGAAACTGAAATATCAGCTCGTCTGGGCTTGAAAAGTTTCAGAGTGTTTTTTGAGTTGTTGACTCGGAGTGTTTCACCAGACACAGAAACTTCTGGGCCACACACAAGTCCCCTGGGAGGTTGTGCTCATTTGTAGGACTCAAAGAAAGTCATGCTTGAACTCAGTTACTTTTTTGCATTGTGTTATGCCTTTTTCCAGGAAAAAAAAAAAAAAAGTAGCCTAACACATACTAGGATTAGAGAGAAGACTTTTAAGCACCTTCTGTTTTGTTTCACTGCACTATTCTGCATTTCCCACGTGTACTTCAGTTCAGGTTTCGACTGTGTGAGGAGAATTTTTTTCTTCGGGAAAGCTCGTATTTAGCTTTTGTGAGACTGTTTCAAAGGATGAATATTTTTTTCGGAGATTTGAAGTTCAACTTATAATCTAGTCTATTTTTGCTACTGCTCTCTCTACAGTCATTTCCCCACAGGATTAAGAGTTTTTTGTGTATCAGTGCATGAAGTCATATGTGCTTGAAATTTGCCCAAGATCCTTCTGCTCTCAGAGTCATTAAGTATTTATCATATATTACCATGATTAATGTATGATACCAAGCATTCAACAGAAAAATGTCTGAACACAAAATTAAAGGGAGACTGTAGGTGTATTTGTTGTTTAAGAATTCTGGTGCTAGATAGCAGTTAAAGGTTTCAGCAGAAAAACACACAAAAACATTTGGAAACAGTTAAAGTCTGGTCTTAAAGTTTGTCTTATGTTAAATGGCAGTACAAATGAGAGAATTCAGAGTTCTAGACAGCTGGAGACTTTTCTCCTCTTGATATCTGTGTCTGAAATACAAGTTGGATATTTGGAAGACTCTGTGGAATGATTTTACATCTCTATAATAAAATACTATGGTATTTTCTGTAGCTGAAATCCAGCGTTTGAACAAAGAGGGTAAATCTGTGTGATTATTGAGACTTTGTTTTGCTTCTGTTTCAGTTGTACACTTAATGTCTGTTTAAACAAATTTTTAAGGACTCAGTGGCAGGAGCTGCCAGCTACACATTTCAATATGTGGAGAAAAATATCCTCAGAATTTCCAAGAGGGTTCAAATGGTTCAAACAGTATCTGAAACTTGTTGATAAGAAATAGAGAAAATTAGGTCACAATTTCTGTTGTAATTAGATCTCTTTTCAGTAGCTGTATTAATAGTCAGAACTTGAATATGCTAAAAAAACCCAAAAGGCATCTGATAATTTTAAAGTGAAATTTAGATTTGTGTTTTAACAAAGATATTACATTACAAGCTTTCTATAAGATTATACACGGGCTCATAAAAACTTTGGGTATGTGTTTTAAAGGGAGGGTCTGTGGGTATGGCAGAGATGAACTGAGAATTTTACAAATGGAAGTACTACCCTGAAAATGCATTTCAGTTTCATAAGTCACTGAACAGGAGGTTAGAGACTTGGCTGCAAATGTGCTGCAGTTTCTGTTCCTTCCTTGGTAAACACAAATAAGCACCAATAAATCTTCATGGGTAAACAAAGCTAAAATTGTCCAAATTATGGAGCTGAAATGTAGTATTCAGGAGGAGCACTCCAGATCCTGATGGTGCTGGCCAAGATGCTGCTTTACTTTCTTTTAACTTCATTAACTTTTGCAACAAGAGTACAGCAATCACAGCTCTAGCTCAAACTTACCAAACTATGTTTAGTCAAATTTCATTCTTTGTTTTCCTCTTCACCCTTGTACAGTTTCAATTTAGTGACTCAGTCATATAAGGAGGAGAAAAGGGACAATTCACTGATCTTGAAAAACAGACATCAAAAATTTGATACGATGATATTTTTTACCTCCTTCCCAGTGGACACAGGGGTGGTGTGTTCCTGAAACAGAAGTGAAGAGCTAGTGTTTTTTCCAGATGGAAAGCACCTGAACAGTGTTTTGTCCTATGAAAGCAGAATTGCTCTGAGAGGTCCCTGTGGCCTGTTGGATGCATGAGAGCGGCATGTGGTAAAAAAGACCAGGAGCAATTGTAAATTTTATGCAGCCAGTGTTGGCTTCAGGGGTTTTTGTTTAAGGCAATGGCCATTGGTGGCAGTTATTGTTTTCTGTTGATGCCTTAAATTTTAAGTTTTTCTATTCTGCTTGGGTGTGCTTTTCTAATGTGCTAAGGTGATGAAAACAAAACAGTCCTATTCCAGTTGAAAAGTCAAGGACAGTTTCTTCAGACTTCAGGCCCTAAGCATAAACAATGTAGAAAGAGGAACCAAAACCTATAAAAGTGTAAGATTTTGTGACCAAGCCCTCCTTTGTTTCCATCTTAAAGCCATCCATGTAGAGGCCACAACTGCAACACTCATACTGCTGAAGTGTAGCCTTTTGTAAGCCTTTCATAAGCCTCTCAATAAATACCCATTTTATTCCCCTCAACTCTGTGTGAAGCCTCTGTTCCAGCTCCCCAAGGCATCACTGTGTGACCTCTGGACATTTCCTGGTGTGTCCTCTCCCTTTTGTAGATTTCCATTGGTGGCTTGTTTTTAAGCAACTATACAGTTCCTTAAAATTGGTCTTAATCTCAGGCAGTGGGAGTAGTCATGTTTCATGATCAGGGCTGACATTCGGGTTGGGGCAGTTGCCCAGATGTGAGCATGGGTTGAGACCATTCCACAGAGCTTTGCATGCCCTGTATGGTTTATACTTCCCCACTAAACGTACTTTGATACAACTTCGGGAGCCCTACCCCCAAAACCAGGCTGGCCTGCGTTAGGCACCAAATGAACATGGAACAAAGATGTAGTCCCAGGTTCAAAGGAGCTCACTAAAAGAAGTGGGAGAGATGGCAGAGCAGTGGGAAGGTGCAAGGAGATGCACTGTGCACAGCTCTTCCTACCAGGTGGCACAGAGGCACTGCTGGCCTAACGGGGATGTCAGATTTAGGATTCTCACAGGAGGATCAGGTGGTTGGAGCTCCCTGGCAGGGCTTCAGCCCATGCTGGGCAGTGCCCAGGCACAGCTGAGGGCTCGCAGAAGCCTGGCCCTGGCAGCCATGAAGCCAGCTTGACTGCAGGAGGGAATCAGCTGTGTGTATGAGCTGTGCTCTGCCTCCTTCCTGCAGAGCCAGGACAGCAAGGCTGGTCTTGGCTCATTTCCCTGTCTGGTGCCAATGGAGGCAGGAATGCTCCAAGTCTCATGTGCAGTCCTGGCCACTGCTGACTGTAAGGCACAAAAAGAATTTTTTTGTTTGGTTGTGGTTTTTTCATTGTTGTTGTTGAAAACTGGCTTGAAAGCTTTGTTATTATTGGTGCTATCTGGACAGTATGAAAGAGCAGCCTCACTTATTGGCCCTGCTGGGTTATTATTCCAGATGTTTTTCTTTACACAGCTGTTAAGCAGGAAGTAGAACCAAAACCAAAGATTGATTTGAACCATTGTTTTGTCAAAACCCAGAAATGAACCTGAATTATTGTCTTCTCTTGACTTTGTTGAATTCAGATCATCATTGGCCACAGCTGGATTCAACCCCAGCTCAAACCACACTGAAAAAAGCACTGAGCCCGACCACACTTTTGAGTAGGTGAGACTTTGAAGGCCAAGAGCCTGCATCTTGTCATGAATGCAGCTGATGTTACCCTCAAGCCAACAGCAGCTTTTACTGAGCATGTGTGTACATGTACATATTCTTATGTATTTATCAAGTGTTTTAGTGCACACCAGTTTATTTTAATGAAAAACCAGGTTTATATAGCATAACTGTAAGATTAAGGGCAGACTAAAGAAAGAAGTCTACTTATAGAATACCAAAGTTTTAGCAAATAGATGTATAGTTTTACTCCAGCAGGACTCACGCATCTCAGGAAACTTGTAATTTTACATTTCACATATACTGGTTTGCCCCTATTTTCTGAAAGTCAGAAGAGCTTGATTGAATGCAGACTACAAACTTGTTCACTACAAAACTAGTTAAACATGAAATCTTGCGGGATTAGCTTAATTGTTCTTTAAATAAAAAAGCTACTTTGTACACAGACTACAATTTTATGCTTGCCAGATAAGGAAATGTGAACCTGTCCAGAGACACAGGAATTTGTCTGTGTAGGAGTATCACTGGGCCAACTGTCTTGCCTTTTATGCGATATTGTGGTGTAAAACATCGCTCCGCTGGTTTCATTTTGCAGAAAATAGTCTCTGTGGTGATACCCTGTGGGAACTGAAGTATCAAATTCTATTTTCCCTTCAAAAAGCCAACTCTGTTCGTACCCTGCTCCTGACACCGCTCTCGGTGAGTGTCAGCCAGCGCGGGGCTCGGGGGATGCTGCGGCGCGGCAGGGGAGCTGCAGGGAAGCTCTTCCAACCAAAGCAGGAGGTGCC